CCGTCAAATTATAGTACAAAAACTTTCAGATATTTATAGTTTTTAACAAAAAAGAAATCATCATTATAGCTATTCAATCCGCACACAGGGGGTTATTAGCATTGTCCAATCGGGAAGCTACACGTAGAGATTCTAGAATATTCTCCCGAAAGGTGATTGGATGGAATATCTTCGGCTCTATCTGAGCTTCTTACAGCTTCCTCGAGTTTGCCCGTGGATCGTTCTCATCGTAAGAAGACAGCATTACTAGAGATGCTAGTTGTTCGTAGGAAACACCTTACTGTTGTCACACTCTTCTACAACCACCAGTACGAATTTCCTCTCGGACCTGCCTGGCATGGTATTACCTAAAGAGACATGTGTTCCAGCCAATACAACTATGTTGAGTCATTACGACAGGCAAGCTCAACCACCACTTCAAGGTAGCAGTTATGGTAAAGGCCAGAATAACCCCATATCTATTAGCAATTTCAAGGACGTAAAATAATGAAGAAGCAAGAACACTACTTACCTACAATGTTATAAAAGTTATTTTTTATCGTTACTATAATTCTTTCGAAACGTCAAAAAGTGAGTCTTTGATAAAGATAAAACAACAATAAAACTAAATAAAAATTCGTTGGTACTGAAAATACGTGAAAATTTATTCAAGCAATCTGTGAGTGCTTTCATTGACAAGTAAACATGAATAAAAAACAAGTAGATGATCGAAGTGGATCAAACATAAATAAATTTGATTTTCAGAACTCAGAAATATATATATATATATATATATATATATATATATATATATATATATATATATATATATATATATATATAACATCGTAGAGATTTGTGTAAACGGAATGCAGGACACATAACAAATATCTTAAAACCATGGTGAAAAATATGTACGGAGATAAAATAAGGTTATTAGGTAAAAATTTGTGACAGAAAAAAATTAGAAAAGAAAAACATGGATCACAGTTACTTTGTTAGACAATAGACAATAAGTAACGTACACTCCACTCGATCAATTCTGCCTCTTTCCCATACAGTCACAGACATATAAATATTCCAAGCAAACAGAGATACAGTGGGTAGGTATAAAGAGATTGGATAAACATAAATTGATATGAATAGGGAACACACTATTCAAAATGTATATTTTTGTTACTATCAGTTTTGATTTTCACTCTTACATACACATCATACACACACATGTACGGACGCTCTTTTCATATTTTTTTTGTTTTTCACATTGCATCAAAATGAAAACGTTGAGATTCTTTTTGTTTTTCTAAACGATCTTCACGAAATTCAAACCATTGAAGAATACCAATAATAATTATGAGTAGAATACAAATACATAGTAGTGTTATAGCTATATATAGTACTTTCATATTATATAATGGTTGGAGAAACAATTTCATAGTCCATCTAAAAATATAGCAGTAGAAAAAAAAGGATAAAATAAAAATCATATAAGTATGTGCATAAATATTTTAATTAACACAACTGTGTTACATAGAGAAGTGTTAGGTAGATACCAGGGAAAGAGACTAGTAAAATTTAGGGAGACAATTCTCAAAGGAGTTACAGTTTGTATCTCTTTTTGTAAACGAATTTATCAAATAATTGGTTAATGAAATTTTCATATTATTCTAATTGTGAGCTTTCGTTAGACGTGTTAAACGTTGTGATAGTGTAGTAAATGCTACTTACGCTGACAGATATAAGTAGTAGTAGAAATCAGAAGTGGAATATCAGAGAATAGAAGACTGAATTGAAGAGAACAGGCAAGGAGACAAATAAAAATGTTAATAACAACAGAATTGAAGGAATCGTGATGCATGTGAAAAATAAATGAAGGAAGATGTGAAAACAATGTAATTAATTAAAACACGAATTTCAGCGAAGGGATCTCTTTTCAACGAATTTATTATCAAGCTGTACAATCGTATATATATGAAAATTTTGTTTTTGTAAAAGTACTAATCCGTGAGGAAATGTGAATACAGTTAATATAAAGGTTATAATACTAGATTACGTAATATGAATAATAACAATAACAATAGATTTAGTGATTATAATAAGATGATTATTGTACAGCTTGATAATAAATTCGTTGAAAAGAGATCCCTTCGCTGAAATTCGTGTTTTAATTTTGATGTTTAAATGGGAATTATCTGTCAATGTAATTAATGTATAATTTTCATATTTTACTAAGCCACTGTGTAATATTGCATTAAATAGATAAATTGGTTTACTCCACATGACTTTTCGTTCACTAAAATAGCACCCATTCGTCAATAAATTATAGTTATCAGAAGGGTTTTTTGCGGATATTAGAGTAATTTCAACCATTGAAATTATTGTTAATTAACTAAACATGTATTAGTCAATTTCCTGTTACAAAAGTCCTATATATGTCGTACAGTTGTGTATGACTATTGAGATTTATCGTTTGTTGTGACCTTACATTTTATCCATATATTCAAAATGTACTTTTTCATTCTAAATAACAATTTAAGGTAGCTGATCGTTTTTTCTGGTACTCTGATAAAGTGTAATGAATAAGGGGAGGGGTGAATTTCTTGGGGTGCTATTGATTGTTAGCGTATATATAGATAATGGTGTGAATGAGGTTTGCGGTATTTGCTTAGAGGAAGATCCACAACAGAAAGTAATATTAATTCTATATTGGCCAGCGAATTATTTGAAACCAATAGAGGGGGATGGATGGAGAGATGTACTTAGTTTAGAACAGCTTAACAGTGTAATTTATCAGGTTTCGTGGTAGGAACGGTATTCTTCTTTCTCTAATCACTGAGTCATAATCCCACATAGTTTAATAGTTTCAACCCCAAAAGTTTTCTACACAGACGAAAAAACGTCCATTACTTCATAACTTTTAGTGGTTCTGTATATAGTATCAGCTGGCGATGAGAAGAGACTTTAATTATGTACTAGATTTGAGCAAAAACTCATTATGAAACGACAGTATGAATATTATGGGATATATATGACCAGTTTGGGAAACAATTGAGGATAATCATTGCACGGAATTAACCTGTATAAAAGTTACTAACTATAGGATAATGCTCATATTATTTTTAACTTGAATCATGTTACTTTAAAAACTATCATTCGGTAATACAATTTACTTTCTAAGCGACAAAAGGAATAAATAGACTTTCTTGATGATTAAACGGTAAAATAAATGTGTTTACAGTAAAACCTTCACGGAAGGCGGCTTGCTTGAATATCTGGGCTACCTGTTCCTGTCATCTATATATTGCTATAAGTTATCTGTTTCCTCGTTTGTCTTAACAGGTCACTATGTCAATTGACTGAATAACCTGTTCAGGTGCGTTTGTGAAAAGCTTACAACCTTCCACTGTACAAGTTACAAAAACGTACAATCAGAGACATCGTGATGGCTGGCAATATACATTGAAAAGAATGAATACTATTCAGATGTCAACTACTAATATCTAACTGGCGATCACTCAATATTTATCGTTAATATCGATCAAGAAATAAAAAACGGAAACTCGCTGAGGTACTTTGTGCTGAGAATTCTATATTGTACCAAAAATATAATATTGAATAAAGCTAACAATAAATAAATAAATAACCAGCTAGGGAGTGTTCACATTTATGTCCCTATTATTAGAAAAAATAATTAACCAATATCTTTCTTCATACAAATCTGACGACTTTTGTAGTCCTGAGGTTATCGATGAGTACTGAACTCTACCAAGAAACATACTTGTCAAAGGTGAATATATAACCACATTTACTGACCAAGAAAATAAAACTCGAAGCTCTTAAAGAGTCAATAACTTCTGTGCCAAAAAATATGCTCTAGATGAACATCAATTTCAAGGGTGACATGGCTGTAAACATCTTAGAATAGAGAATCTCAAACTCATTCGAAAGAAATTCATTCGCACAAAGTTTCTAACCGATCTAACCTCATCAAGAGCTTAAAGGACAAGCTATCACATCTGATCATATAAATGTATATTTATCAAATAACTTTTACCTTGGAATGTAAATATATTGATAATTTAATATGCGTTCTATCCAAGATGGTAAAAGAAAATAACTCATCATGGTTGCAAAACAGATGGCAATAAGTTCATAAGAAGCTCAAAAGTTGGTCACCTTGTAAATATTGATCGTTCGATCAAAACAGACTTGTCTAAGTCATATACACAGTGAACAGAAAGCTATCAACGGCAATAAACATTCCTTATCATTTCCATTGTTAAAGCTTCTGCAACAAACACATTTAGGGAAACTAGGCCTATACACACAAAAAAGGAACTAACTGAATCTATTCTACAATAATTGTAACCTTTCGTTTCCTAAGGTCATCACCCTTACTCCCTCTCTCCTAATTCTCTTGATCTTTTCACAACTACCGTCATTAACTGACTTTCTTTTTTAATGTTTTTCTGCCTCTCTGGTTAAATTGAACTTCAATTTCAAAATCTATACCATCTTATTACTCAATTAACCATGAATATTCATGTATATCCACAATTTATTTTTATAACTACATTTTCAATCTCTTCATAAGGATAAAAATTTCTTATGGATTCCACTGCTAGCCACTATCCATCTTTTCTTATAATGCTTGTAAATTAAGACAATATCGAGGCATACGCACAGTATGCACATATGCCAATAAGAGACTGATTAATTTCAGTCCTAAAACATCAATGGGAAGATTCAAGTAAAACAATACCAAAATGTCTTATGGTTTATATTTTGCATCTCTATCCGCCACTTTTGTATTCATTAAACAATTGTCATTATCAATAAACATATCATAGGTTACTATTGTGAAAAATAACAGTATATACATATTTTTACAATTGTACAGAAATAAGATTAAATCATTTACAGAAAAAGATAGAAAATTGTCTTATTTTATAAACAACTTACGCAGAAGGATTATCTAATGGATATGGATTGATAACAATTTGAGCTTTTGGAACAATAAACGATAGTAAACGTGATCGAATAAGCTAAGAAAGTGTAATAGAATGAAAACTTATTATGATTATTCATAATAATATATTTGAATAATACACAAGTGGCGTTTCATTCAACCAAATGAACGTAGTTACAAACTTAAATTATTCACCTAGAAAGATTATGATTAGTATATACTGATATATGCTTTGAAAGTGTTCAATATACCAACAACAATGAAAATATAAGAAGTCATGCGTCAACCCAGTATTAAAATAAGAGATTTGATTTTGTAAAGAATATAAACTATGTATTATATTTAAAATAAAATAATACATACTACTATACCAATGAACAGGATAAGTTACATAACCAATATTATGAATAAGGTTTTATATATAACAGTTAGTTAATTTAAAGACGATTTATTTTGTAAAGGGTAGGTGCATTAATTCTTTGTTTTTTCTTAAATTCTAGTTCTTCAAATTACTTCGTACGTTTTTCTATTACATGAATCCACACTTTCTTTTCAAGTCGTTAATTTTATGCCTAGTCTTTTCTACTGCCACCAACATTATTACTACCTATACTGTTCTGGTATATCTATTTGCTATTAAGGTGTGGAAACTTTCACCGATGCACGTATGTACCACATTCTGTATTGCGTATGACTGATTGACCGAATAACTTGTAAGACCATACATTACTTCCTATTTCCATTGATAAGTTAGTTGTGAAACGATGTTTACGAAGAATTATTTAATGAACGTATTGGACTTCACTACAGCCACCATTCATCAACTTTGCTCAAAAACGCCTATAACTGATGGTAATACACTCTCCTTCCAGTCTTTGCACAAAAACAGACGGCTGCGCAATATCGAGAGTTGGTAAACTATATAAACTACTGAATATGAGCTCAGTAGTCTGAAGGTTAGGCGCTCACTCAAAAACTTGAGGGTTCTAGGTGCACATTGTCAGGTAGTCTTGTAGTAGGATGCAGCAGCTGTCTAGTGTTTCCTGGTTTTTAATGGTTATTTAACTAAGATCAGTCCACGAAGCTAACCATATAAAACAGAAAAGTATGACACATGATTAAACTGTCAAGGCAAACAATATTTCTCATTAATTTAATTAAAGAAATTGACCAAGTTTGTTTTTTTGGTGGATTTCGCTTACCAAGAACACATTATATACTATGCTTCAGATCAAATTTTGATGTGATAATTATAAATATTTTTCTACCATACTAACTAAATTAGGTAGAATAGAATTTGGAGCTACAGTGAAGTAACTGAAAATCCATTTTATTAATTGTTCAAAATTACTACAGCTTATTTGCTAAAAACATTTTTATTTAACATTTATAAATCAAACATTAAGAAAATATTTGAAATACAAAAATTATTAAATAGTTAAGTAATAATACCAGCCTTAAATAAGTAGCCACATTTTGCATTAACTACGAAAAATCGACCAACATTGTCAATTCATATAAGACAATGCCTAGGTACCATTCTCATATTATTAAATAATTCTTCCACTTTTGATAATTATATATAAATGTATATAAATTAAAAGTAGTCCAAAATGTAAGACAAATAATTTTTGAAAATAAACGATTTACTTCTCTCGATGGTGGTATAGAAATTGTTAATTTTTCAACATAATTGGCAAATTGACCTAAACCAAATATTTCAAACGGTACTTGAAGAGCACTACAACAACTTTGTGAACTTAAAAGTGCAGCAGAAAGATGACGACCTCCAGCAGCAGCTTCAGTGTTGAGGTATGAACTTATTCCAGGTACCATAAGACCATAAGGTAATCTACCATCTGAACATGAATCCGCAGATGAACAAAGTCCGTTAAGAACAGTAACCTTATAGTTAAAAATGGAAGAATTGAAAGTAAATAATTATAAATGTATATTATAAAGTGTTCCTAAGTTAAACTATGCTTTAACGACAAATTAATAACATTTAGTAGAGTGACTTTAAGGTCATGACACATACACGAACGAAAAATACTAACATAGACCATCTTATGGCAAAATCCAACAAAGGTTTGACAACTACGTATTTACAAAACAACATATCGCTATAGAAAACCATCTTCTGTCGTTACAAAGCGGAAGTGGCTGTTAAATAGGGTATATATATATATATACGTTCTGTCGAAAAAAAAGACAAATAACCAACTTTTGTTCTCGAACAAAAAAAGCCTTAACGTCACACTGGTCGAATAATGAGAACAATAGACTGATGAATTATTTACATATTGTTATGTATTAATTGTAAACGTAAAAATATCATGTCATACAGTTCACTTGATGTTGACAATACTTCTATTAGATCAGTACTGATTACGTTGAGAGAGCTGAGGGAATTTGTATCAACTTGAGAAAAAATACGAATGTACCACTATCAGTAGTGAGTTAGTTTTGCAATGAAAAGTGCAAGATTCTATGTAATATATATATATATATTCTACTAAACGAAAATAATCCAATAAATACCTTTAAGAAGTATGGATCAGTATCCACAGTACTCAGGAATAACTGGGCTGATGGTTGATCATGGGGATTTAAAGAAACCATAAAGAAATCCAAAATACTCTACAAGTAATAAAAATGGAATACACCATAACACAGTATATAGACGAGGTAAATGTAGTTCAGTCATGCTGAAAAAAACTTTTTGGAAAAACTCTGTCGGAAGAAAAAACAAACAGCAAGAAGACATGGGGTAGTGATGAATGTTCACATTATTTAATTGCCGTAGACTCACCTTAGTAGAACGATGGTTAATTTGACTTCCAGCTATTGGGTTGTATATTACTAGCCTTCACATGAAACAGTGGAGCTATATATTAACAAGATCTAATTTTAGAGACGTATATTCTAGTACATTACTTTTAATTCCAACATAAATAATATTACAAGTTATCTACAACTAAGAAAGTCCGTTCTCATATACTAACTTTAAGTTAAATGATAGGTGAAAAATTACAAACGAACCACGCTGTTGGAGGAAGTCCATTATATACCAACTCAAGGTCTTAGTCTACATGTCCTTGCCTGAAGGTCATAAGGGCAATCGTACATACATTATAATTCGGTTTGGTAACTAAACCCCCTGACTTATATGGTCTTCTTATTTGCACAGCAGGTTCGATTTACCGCGAGAAGCATATATCGTGACTAAATCGGACATCAGAACATAACACTAATAAGAATCCAAACAGATTAAATTGAATTTATATTTTTGCTCGGACCAATATTCTGTAATCATTTTATTCTTACTCAAAAAGATACAAGCGGCAATCTCAACAGCAGTAGATCGTCAATAAAGTAGGCTTTTTAATTTTAGTTATTTAACAAACATTTGTCATGCATCATTCTGCTTAAACTATGTCGTAAAAGTTCTCTCACCTCATCTAATTCAATGTAATATCCCAAAGAATATGGTGAGACTAAACATTTAATAGCAAGCATTATTCATAAGAAAAATTCTTACATCATCAGATTGATCAAAAAATGCCAACTGACGTAGTCTAGTATTGTCTGGTGGCAATTGAACGCCCGGAAGTAGAGTAAGTTGAAAAGTGAGAATTCCATTAGAATTTAATCCTTTATTAACGAACACTCCAGGATAAACACCCATATTTTGATCACTTTTTGACCAACTCGTAACACCTAAACCTAAATCAGGTTTGCCATCCATATTGACATCACCAACTGCTGGACCAATTAATGAACTAGTCAATAAACCAGATCTTATTTGTGGAGTGGATGTTAAAGACCATCGCATAGTATTTTCTTTAACATTTGAAGGCTCCCATATTACATTAACAGGGAACCACTAAAATGTATAAATGTAAAAAAGAACAAGAAATGAATCGATTAACAAAGTGAAACTGAGGAATGCATGAAAACAAATATTACTGACTAGTAAGTTACTTTTACATACAAATAAGTATTTATTCTTATCATGTATACTCGGTCGATAAATAAAAACAATATAATTTGTTGATTTTCTAATGAAATCTTCCTGTAAAATAAGACACCAGGCAGGAGAAATGTGTGTCAATTGAGAGAAGTTACATCTGGGCTACCTGTTCCTGCCATCTAGATATTTCAACAAGTTATCTATTTTTGTTTGTTTTAATATATCACTATGTTTATTAATCGCATAACCTATTCTGCTGCGTTTCTGAAAAGTGTGCAACCTTTCGTTGTCAAAGATACAAAAAACTCAATAAGAGACAATGTGGTTGCTGGCAATATACAACGGAAAGAATGCACATTATTCAGATGTTCATTTAGTGAACTGTTAACATCTAACTGGAGATCACTCAATATTTATCACCAGGACCGACCAAGAAGAAAGAAACGGAAACTTGTTGAAATACTTTACGCTGAGAATTCTATATTGTACCAAAAAATATAATATTGAATAAAGCTGGTAATAATAATAAAAATAAAAATAACACATATATAGTCTTTGATCGTCCATCTGCATCGTCAGGTGTGTTCTGACATCTGAACTGTCTTTTCGTCTAGTCTTCAAGTGTTTTGTCAATACTGCGCTTTCGATATACCAAAACTTTTCACTCCATTTGATAATTGTTGCAACTTCGAAGCCACGTTCCGCTACGCACTGCTTACAAACATCCTTGTGAGTAGCGTCCACTACACTCCTACTTATCATAAGAGAGAATAATACGGATATATGATAATCATTTCAACTGAAACACAATGATCTTAGTTTGTGAATCATTTTTCTTTTACTATTACTGATAATTTATAATACTTTGAGACAACAGAATAACAAAATATAATGGTGATATTATGAAGAAATAAAAGAGAGAAAACACGTTATAATCAACAAGTAAATGAACACAATAGTTTTCTTTTAAAAGAACAACTATGAGATTTCGTTTAGTAAGAAAAATTAATCTCAATCTTATGAACAAAACATTATAGTACTACAGAAAAATTAATATTTTGATCTCTGGTACGTTGACCAAGCAGTTGTGATAGATCTTTAACCTTCATTTTGACTCCAATTGATAAAAATAAGATATATCTTATTTTTGACTTCATATATAATACTTCAGTTAAACCCATTGTGTAATGATGGTATTTAAGAGCCAAATACGAATAGCGTATGGACCTATATTCGGTCACCAGTTACCATGATACTGCATCTCCTAACGTTGCTCTGCCGCCTTCTAAATTAGACCACTAAATCAGAGGCTCGGGGAGTGGGTTCTAAGGAAACCATCTGCTTCATTTTAGGCAGCTGGGGTGTATCCCAGCTCACATGCAAACTAAATAATGACTACAACTAGAAAAACCACTCACGCTTTAATTCTCATTCTCTAAAATCAAACTCAAAACTACTCATTATTGCTCGTTTTATTTAACATTGCTTCACTTGTTTATTCCTTTATTTCCGTTTTGTATATTCTTTTATTTCTCCATTCACACAGCAGCTCATCTGTGGTGGAAATTCTGTCCTATCCAAACGATCTCAAATCACTGATTGGTCGGATATTGAGTGGTACCACTGAATACGAAATCCGAACCAGCCTTTCAGAAACCACGTATACCATCCAAATTGGCCTCCTTCAACACTCGCACACTAATGCCGATCGGACAACAGACAGGGCTGGCTGTCTTTAGAACGTCTTAATATCGATGTCTGTTGTCTATCCGAGACCCATATTCAAAACTCTAGCGAAGCACTACAAATTCACTCCCCATATGTAGCTTCGAAAAGCTTGTTTCGCGTGCGTTTATCGGAGAACTCTGTGGAATCTTTGCCTGGTCCTGCTGGCGTTGGTGTCACACTAAGGGCTAAAGCTGAGGCAAAACTGATCGATTTGACCCCCATTAACAGTCGGTTATCTGCTGTTAGGTTTGAAAGAATCAAAATGCGAAGAAGTTGGTGTGAGAAACGATGTCTTTTCGTAGTCTCTACCTAAACTCCGACAGATTGCAGCCCGGTTGCCATCAAGGATGAGTTTCACCACCAGTTATCTGTTCTTCTACAGATCGTACGTCCGACAGATATTGTAATACTAGCCGGAGACTTGAATCCTCAGGTCGGGCGTCTAGGCACAGAAGAAAGTCATTTAGGTGGCCGATAGGGACGTGTTGGTCGCAGGTCAGATAACGGGGACCGTCTACTGCAACTGTGAGCAGACCATAACCTGTTTCTGGCTAGCACTAACTACCTGCACAGTTATCACCGATGTTTCATCTGGCGTCCTGCCTCTGCATTTCAAACCTGGACTCAGATTGATCACATCGCGATCAGCTAACGCTGGCATGGTTGCGTACATGACTGCCGCTCCTTTTGGAGTACCTATCTGGACTCCGATTATTCCCTTATTTGCTTTCGTGATGTTAGTGTGGCTGTCAAAGGTCGGATCTACAACGCGTCGGTGAAAGCAGTTTTGCTTTATGCTTGTAAAACCTGGCCTCTCCAACTTGAAAATGTTAGATAACTCTCCGTGTCTGATCATCGTTGTCGCCGAAAGATTGCTGACATCCAGTAGCAACAAAATGTGTGTTCGGGAAGAGCGACGATAATTAGGCTGGTGTCACCATCTTGAAACACCAACTTCGATGGCTTGGACATGTCGTCCCAGAGAATTCCACATCGCACTGGGACTAGATGGAAAAAGTGGAGATTATCAGTGTATGACATAGCGTCGTGGTATCAAGGAAAGCTGTACAGGACTGGCTTCTGATAGACTTTCGTGAGTCTCCAGTTGAGGTTCCAGAGATGGTGCAACACAATGGCTTGAAATGTTATCAGACAAGGATAACCATAAGGCCCGTGGCGAACCTGACGTATCATTCTTTTACTTTCATCATAAAAAAGGAAACAACTTCTTTAACTGGAAATATCCTTTCTGGTTGTATTTTTCGTCATAATAATAATAATAATAATAATAATAATAATAATAATAATAATAATAATAATAATAATAATAATAATAATAATAATAACAATAATAATAATAATAACAATAATAATAATAATATAACACAGAGAAGCTAAAACTAACCTTTCGATCTTTGAAAGAATATATATATATACTACTGGTATCCAAACATTTAGCGTCTCTGCATACAGGTAGAAGTAAATCAATTGAGCCATCATAGTCTACCATAGTAGAAAAATCAAATAATAATAATGATAATAATTTCCACCAGCAATATTAATATTATGTACATTACTATTTGGCACAATAACTTAACAGATTCACATACGAACAGAACAAATGTCAATCATTACAAGCTGAGATCTAAAATCAAAAACCTGATTGTAATACAGAGTAACTGTTTTGTTGTACTTGAAGATACCTTAAAATGCACCTATGAACCAGTACAGGACCGAATCTAAAACTTTCACACCTCAAGGTAAATATGGTATACTTAGATAAATGAGTTCGTCTATAAAACAGACTCGTCTTTACATCTAAAGTACTACTCTATGATGATATTCTACAAATTACTAATTAAACGATCGACATTCAATATCAGTTTGATTTGATCGTCCACCAAAACTTAAAAGTTTACGCTTAGAACCTGATTGGCTAAAGGGTATCGCATAGTTCCACCTTGACTGGTAATGTGTTATTATTTTAACATATAATACAAGTAAAAAGTAACTCCTAAAGATTTGGACATTGCTGAATGTTTTTCATAGTACTTCGACCGGGTTCATTGAATTTTATCAGAACCAAGTTTGTTATAATAAATCAAAGTCAACAAATCAAACGTTGTGAAAGAAGTTTTGGACAACTAAGAAAATGGATAAAGGGTTAATAGGTGAACATTATCCCACCCTTACTTCCATGTATGGCATGATTTGTCTTACATAAGCTCCTTTACAGAATTACATGCTAGTTTACTAACTCGACAAGCTAATATTCGACCAAAAACAAAGGTACTGAAGGAAGGATTAGTTATAAAGAGAAAGAAACAGGGAATCAGGAAAAAAAGCTGCAGCCATTTTGTCATTGTTTCATGCATCCTTTGTTTTGAACCAAGTTACTGAAGATTACAGTCATTTAGGAGTGTTTAATCTGCCGTACACGAGATCAAATGAAGTCAAAAAACCGTCCTAGATTCTTGGGATATTTGTGTATGAATGCATATAAGTACTGAGTGATTCTATAACAAATAATTGGTTTATGTTAAGCTTATACTCAAGATAATGGACTCAACAACAACACTTGACTCAATGCATACAGGCTGAAAATCAGTTGTACGATATGATCGGACGGATAAAATTTGCATCAACCAGTAAGAAAACAGATTACGATTAACCCATAAAATAAAAGAGAATAAATACGAGTTACTCATATGAAATAAATTCATAATGCACAAATCGACAGGTAGAACTAAGTGCTTTGCCAATTATCGACGATAATCTTCACGTCAATGACTATCTATGTCAGTATGGTCGATCAAGAAGTCTAAATGGCACAATAACTCCTATGGATATTGGTCGTAGTGGTTTAGTAACTACGTGTTGTTGAAATCTATTCCTGATAGAAAAAGAGACCGTGAGTTAGTAAAATTAGATCGCGCAAACTTTCATATTAGAAACCTGTTGGCCCTGTCTATTATGCCCAAACTGCTTCAAACTTAGGGGGGATTTATCAAACTGGACAGTTAATAAGAGAAAATTTCTCTCATGTGACAAGTTGCAGTTTGATCACTGAAGCCTCTCCTATATATTAAGAAGGAGCTGAACATCCCATTAAACGCTGCTTATAGACTCTATAACTGTTTTACTGACAATACACACTCCAGTTTTATAGTTTCAAACTTGTTTTAAAATGAAAACACTAAATACTTACCGAAATCATTCAACACGAATAATCCCAAAACAGATTGTGGAGTACTTAATAACTTAGGATCGAGATCAATTAATTCAGCATTAGTTACATCAGGCAAAGAACCAATCGATGATTGAGTACGTAGTATCACCTGTAATTGTTGTGTATTCTCATTATCCACAAGGATTACAATATCTACATAAATGTCATTCACGAAAAGTAAGTATATGAATATACAAAATTGTTAGCTTGATTGACAGCCAGTCTTAGTAATTACCCTCAGTTGGAACAAAACATAAGATTACCAAATAAAAACTGAATTTTTTAAATTTACCGCACTGACATTGTGACAATAAAAATATTGACGTCCAGTAAAATACTGAAGTATAATTTTAACCTGTTATTTTAACGATAAACTGTTTAGGTATACCCAAGTAAATTGCTACCTAAAACAAAACAGTTTAGCGCCAAAAGACAGTTTAGCACTAATATACCAGTAATGATTACACAACGAAGGCGCTCAAGTTTACTGAATAACAATCATAGAAGTCAACCTCTATTTTGCACTGAAATATAACTTAAGAAGCAGAGGTGATAGAAGTATAGTATATACTGCATTCGTTATGTACTTCAGCATCATAATTTATTTATAGAAGTGAATTATTGGTATTGTTCTATTGGCTTCCACAGAGAATTTCTTGTCGCATTTCAGTGACAATTTCCTTTAATTAATGTGTAGGAAAATCCTATGCTGATCATGTTAAATATCATCTTGAATTTTGTTAATTCTTTTATTCTATCAACTTAATACGTTATTTTTCACCAATTATATTCCTGTCTTTCCCTTCTGGGAGCTAAACTATATGACAGAAGCAACCTATTATCTTTATTACACAAAAAAGCTAATACAAGAGACAATGATTTCACTGTATGTATTTGTCTAATCAATAAAATCATAAAAGGAAAAAGGAGCCAAATACAGATAAGACAATCAATGAATTATTTTAATAGTAAAACGGATATCTAATGGATGCTGGAATTATGTCCAGAAACAAGCTTGTTTGATTCCCTTTATTATGTAAACATGTACTATTGAAGATATATGTTAAAACCTACGTACTGTAAAAATTAAAAACTATTTTATTTTCCAAGTAAAATATATTACAACACTACCTAAGTGAATGTTATGCATCTCATCTGCTAAGCGTACATGTTTACGTAATCAGATTCTAGCCACCATTTTTGGGTTAAGGCTAATGAATCTACTTAGCTGTCCAAACCGAAGTAAATGGAATAAGAGGTTTAAACCTGAAAATTATTGATTGAAAGTCACTAACTGACTGCTCCATAATACTATTAACACCGATTACAAAGAATATACTTATAATATATGAATAATTGTTTAAAAGAGAATTTCAAAGTGAAAATACAACAAAATCGGTAATCACATATCAACTTTTTATGAAAAGTAAATCTATTTACGAAGTGTTATATTCTAATTATAATACAACTTTCTATATGATGGTGAAAAACCAACAAAAAAAGAGAAAAGGAAAAACAGGCTTTTCAATGCAACAACATTGCGACAAGTTTCCAATTGAATAGCTGGCTTACCAGGAACACCATCTCTGTTGATATCCCCGAAAGCTGAATAACCAAGTCGAGACCATGAAGGGCCAGAATAGGCAGTGGATAATTTCGTAAGCTCATTTCTATAATATTATTATTTAATAAATGAATGTGAACAAGTTAAATTTTAAGAGCTCGACAGAGCAATATTGTTTGTTATTCGAAATAGAAATTAGATTATAACAACGTTACAAAAATTCACCAGCTGAGTCATTTAACTTGTTTTGTAGATTTTATTTTATATTATACAAACGGTATGATGATAAAATTCTAACCGGATGCACAGCAGAATACGAACTGGTGATTCAACATTAGTTTAGATAAATTTGGCACACAACAGTCAATCAGCAACAACGTAGGACCAGGCATATATATGCATCGTCCCAATTTGCCATACTTCATTAAGACAACAAGATAAACACCTAATTCATAGAAGTAGCTACTTCAATGATAGTAATATATAAAAGAAAGATTGAGTATAAGGATATAATACAATAAGAAAGATATAAAGTAATTTTAATCTCACGGACGGTGCTAATTTCTAACTTCAGACAATAGGTGGAGGGTTGCGCAAGATTATGGATCGATTAAAACTAGATATTAACGCCGTTTAATGTCGGACCAGTGGTCTAGAGGTTAAGCATTTCCGTGCGAAACTGAGGGTCCTGGGTTCGAGTCCCGAGAGCGCGATCGTGGATACGCATAGCTAAGAGGTCCCATACTAAGAAGAAACGGCCGTCCAATGCCTCCAGGTTTTCAATGGTTATCTAGCTTAGACAGACTCATGAATTCAACTATTAAAACCATACATTAATAAAAAACTGGGATGATGAAAAAGCTAAACCTTTTAAGATCCAGTTGACAACAAAGCTTTGATTATACTCGGAGAACAAACAAATAAATCAAGAAATTAACATACCCGCCTATATATGCTACTCGATGTCCTGACACTTCGCCGTATACATCAGCAATCATATCAGAATTTAAATCGCATACTAATGGTTGAGAAGTAAAAGTATCCAGAAATTTTGGTGAACCTGAACATTTATTAGGAATTTAAAAAAAGTAACAACATTAGAAGTCATGTCTATCTTTAACATTTTAAAGTAAACTATTTTAAGAAAGAAAAATGTAGTTGTAAATTCTCTTTAATCAAAACAATAGGTGAAATCTCTCACGAACTTTGTACAACAATGAAAAATTCACATTGTTTTGGTGAAATATCTAATCTACTTAGAAAAAGAGACAACATGATAAGACAAAATTAAGTTAGAGGAATAGTTGTTGTTCAAATACTTAGATGTAACTCACCAATGAAGTACAAACCGATGTATTTTGCTTTAAGTTGCACTATTTGTATGAGGGCTAATCATACTTACTATTTGGATGCCTAGAATGAAGTATATGCAGTGAATTTGGAGCTATACCACCACTCCACTCAGGTACTTAAAAGTCTAATATAAATTATAATGAAATAATAAACTATATGATATTACCGTATATCCATATTCAACGTACACTATAATTATAAGTAAAAAAACTAACCCTCGCGTAAACATTTTGGAGCGAATAAGCTTTTTCCTGTCAAAAATGTTACAAAAAAACCGACACACAAGAACATTAAACAGTATCTATAGCCTAGTTATACTACAGAAAATCTTTGAGTTGAATGAACAGATGAATAAAACTAGCAATGTATGGATGTGTGGAGATATACTCTGATGAAACTAATTAGTCAAGATTTTTAAGTCATTTGATAAAGAAGTGAAGTACGGTACCTGATAATTCAGATCATATTAAACTAGTTTCATGAAGATAAAATGATGGTAAGTTTTTATGTAGTGTGTTTATTGACTAATGTGCCAATTAGACATTATTAGACAACACCTGATAGAATCCGATAATAGCTTGGGTTTGTAATAGTTATAAGGTTTATCAGTGGGTATGAAGAGCATACACGCTTTAAAATAAAAAATAGGTGCATTAATTAGATTCCGAATTTCCCAGATAATATCACATCTATTTGAGCAATTAGTTAGAAGTTAAAATGATTTTCGTCAGGAGGTACAAAACCAGCCAGAGAATTCTTGAAAAACAGGAATAATCAAATGGATATTTCGTGCTAATTCCTCCTCCTATCCAGTGCATACCTACGACTACAAACAAGATCGACCTAGCAAATGCAGGAATCGTTGCAAGCACGATATCTTTATGAAGATAAATCATATCATGTGTAGCGGTATGAATTTATACTTGATGCAGTGTACCTTCTAACTCATCTGGCAACAGCCCAAGATATTAACATTATGTTCATCTAAATTTCTGTAATCAAACTGCCAAGAAATAACATTAATCTGTACAACACACGTAACCGAGACACCAAACAGATATGCGCCACACTACATCATTCGATTTGTGTGAGGGCTGAGATACTAGCCGGGCGCCAAAACCGAGGGGGGTGGTTTTCTTAGGAGGCCACTCCCCGAACTTTTGGCCTAGAGGTCTAATCCACAAGGCAACGGAGTGACGTCAAGAGATGCAGTCCTATGGTAGCCGGTGACCAACAATAGGTTCATACGCCGTTTGTTTCCTTAAGATCCTGGAGCCCATTCACACGATTGGTTTCGAATCAGTGTTTTCTAACTCTCCAAGGTGGATCCTCCGTATCCACCAACACGATTAAATTACCGGACATTCGCTTTTCGTCCTCTCAATTTCGTAAACAACAACCCCACCGCGAGAAGGCAGTGAGTCGGACTTTCCTGATAATGGCTGTATACGCGTAGCCATGTGAGAGCATTTAGAGAGGGAGAGATGACTTTCTCCACTCTAGGCCATACCATGGCATGTGTGTGCCATGTAACCAGGTTCTAGACTAGACTTTGATTTAGGTAAAGTTGTGAGATAAATTTATTCTTCTGTATAAACTATTATTAACTGTAAAGAAAGCTATGGACTTAAGAGGGGATATGAATTAAATCGATCTGCCTCAAGAAGAAGAATTTTGAACTATAGCACCTAATTTTTAACTCGAAGCCGGTAGCTGAAACCTGTCAGTGATTCCATGGGCTGATGCCACATCTCAGTTTCACCACTGCTATCTTCCATTCAATTTACTCTTACCGCAGTCAGTATCGCTAGTCAACGTAGAGGGGGATTGGATATAGCATATGTCCCAGCCACCTAACTCAATGAAGAATCACAGCATCGTCACAACCGACCATCTTTACCTCGACCCAAAATACCTAATTCTAGCATTGCTCCCTCCGCTGTTCCATCGAAACCGAGGAATGCTTAGAAAATATTAAAGTTCAAATACTAGTAACGCATGTATTCCCTCTTCTGTCAAAGGTCATGTTTAAAATCCATCAATATGAGTAGTTGGGCTGAACTATCAACTCAAACCTCCACAAACAAGATTTGTTGTCTATTGATTTAACTTGTATTTTCTTGAGTCGCAATAAAGTTGATTTGTGTAGGAATCAGAAATCATAAAAACATATGATCTCATAACACAGAATATATACCACTGTAGACTTACCGAATTTCCCACGATATTCACCACTTGAGCCATAAGCTACATATACATCAAATGGTCCCCCATCTGAACTACCGGTGACTAGTAAAAGATCAGTCCGAGAATCTCCATTGAAATCAGAAGCAGCAACACCACGAACAGGCTTAGACAAATAATTACCAATTATTTCAACAGGTGGAGAAAATCTCACACTAGATAGTATTGGTGAAGTGGATTGAAAACCTTTATTGTCAGATTGTAGAACAGCAAATAATTTCGAACCATCGCCATTGGCAAATATAATATCCATTCGACGATCAGCATTTAAATCAGTGAATGCTGCCAATTGAAAATCTGGCCAAGCATTTATTTGTTGATAAAAATCAGATGGATTGTTATTTAAAACAACATTTTTATCCGAACTCACCAAAAAGAATAACAATAGTAAATAAAATTTAGTCACCATGATAAATGATGGAATACGGATTAATTTCATTGTCGTATGAAGCAAAACGTTAAAGTTCACTGGATGTCAGACAAATCTAGGGAAGTGAATAAACAATAAATTGCTTTTAAGAATAGTAACGACAAACTGAATAGTATAAGTCAGAATATTTTTTAGTCACTGGAGTCACCTCTTACATCACAGTTACAAATAAAACAAGATATAATGCAAATATGCATTGGCTCAAATTGCAGTTCGAAAAGAAAGAATTACTTAGAGTAACAAAAGAGAATGTGACTAATTCTGAGCTGTACTTGAAAACTTCAACTACTGATTGTGATTACTGTGTACACCTTGACCAAGTAGTCGGCACTTATCAACATGGCTTAAAACAAGTCAACGACTCGATGAGCTGACGTCACATCATAATTGAACCATTCTTCACTCCTTGTATGCATTTTTAAGGAAAAAGTGCAAATAAACTGTAGACATAGGGGAATAACCATAAATTGAGTAGGGTACAAAACAAAGCGCTTTAATTTATTTTATGGTATACAAATAATTGATGTTGAAGTCAGCTATCCTTGAATTGCACTACATTAAATGAGATGAATGAATTAACAAAAGTGAATATTAAAATTGGATGATTAGATTTGAGAACAATTAATGATCATATGGAATCGAAAAGTTAAATCGACGGAAACCATTCACATAATAAGGAAAAACTTCTGATAAATTTATATTGCACATGTACACAGAGTATTCTTGTAAAGCTTTCTAAGTGATACACGAGATTATAAAATGAAAAAACAGAATGATGGCTCTGCAAAATGATCTTTAAGAATTCCTATACAGGTGATTCAGTGATCAGTTATTATTTTCAGTAGGTATGATTAAACTTTAAATATTTATTCACATCGACTGTTTTATTGACCTAATTTTCAACTTCTTTAACTAGTTAGTTGATGAAATGAGTTTATGTCCGGAGCTTTAACCGGATCGGTGGACACTGAGGATCCACCTGGGAAAGTTGGAAAACCATGATTCCAAACCAATGATCCACATGGGCTCCAGGATCCTGAAAGAACAAACGGCATATGAACCAATAGTCGGTCACCGGCTACCATAGGATTGCATCTCCTGACGTTGCTCCACTGCCCTGTGGAGCAGACCTTTAGGTCAAAGGTTGGGGGAGTTGCCTCCTAAGAAAACCACCTGCTTCGGCGTAGGCACCCGGACAGTATCACAGCCCACACACAAATCAAGTGACTTTTTGGCGCATATGTATTCGGTGCACCTTTGTACCAGTGTTTATGTGTTCAAATAAATAAATGTCAAATGATGTGTAGACTAGTTTTAAGAATATTTTCATCACCCAATAAGCTTATGAAATTTGCTCGATTTACACCTGCATCATGAAGATAATCACGCACTTTATATTAATAGAATCAACTCTAGGAGACACCAGTTCTGAATGTAACAATATATTACGTTCATTTAATAGGCAGAACAAACTAGTAAATTAGTTGAAACAATGTGTCTTTTATCATATCAGAACAAATATTTGTTCCATAAATTTATTTATCAAAAAAAAAAAAAAAAAAAACAAATATAATAAAAATAAATAATCAAATTATTATCATAAATTTTCCTAAGGAGAAAAATCAAACAGATTCCTTATCTACCCTACAATTCACCAACAATACTACATAGACATAGAATATCCATAATATAAAAAGACATAAAACAGGGTGAAAAAAAGAAGGGAAGAAAGATTTCTGAAATAAAAAGAGGTGAACCTACTTCATACATCAGCTTGCATTGAACGCATTTTCAAGAAATAATAAATATATTTATAGAGAAGTTTCTGAACAAGTTGAATAAGGTATTGACAAAATAACTTAGAAAATAATCAACTTTATTACATAACTATGAACAGTAATAACTAGGTCTTTCTTCATCTTTTTTTTCTAGTCTTTTAAACTTTTATTTAATAAATAACTAATGACAATGACGATAAGACTAAGAGAGAAAATAGTTCTTTGATGCTGCGTAACTAATCCCCATAATATATGTTTATTTATAGATTTTGAAAATGGTTGACGTATTATTGGTGATCGGTTTAGTAATTTTTGCTCACGATATTTTAGAATACGTTTATTGCCTAATTCAATCAATTTGTCTGGTTCTAAATCGATGTAAATTTTTAAAGCTTCATGGATAAGCTCCTCAACAGGATGTAGTTTAGGTAGACGTGCAAGTGTTTGATACAAAAGAGCAAAATCCAACGGTGTTGATTCCACTTCTTTGGCACTGATAGTGATTATCTATGAAAAGGGGGATATTTTTAATTTTAAGACGAAATCAACAATAGTTTATTAGTTATTAAAGAGTAAAAAATAATCATGGAAAGTGTATAAAACAGAAAAGTAGACAATATACAACCATTTCATATTCTTGGAACGTGTCTAGCAATAGAATACAGCGGGAACGTTCCATCGCATTTTGGATCCATTAGCTGGATGTACTTGAATTTCAGTGTTGATGTGATATAACGGATTAATGGAAATCTTTCCTCTCGTTCCACGATATAGTACGATAAGACTGGTGACCGAGTTTATACTACCACTGGATTGAATACTCGATTTACACGTTATACACAGATTAGATCACGTCATACCATATACCCGATTCACAATCGCAAATAGAGAACCAGTGTAACTCTAGACAACACTTTACTCCACACAGTTACAAACAATCACTCGCAGTGAGTCCGTGGTAGATATCAATAGAATGAACGGAAATTACATATTTGATATCCAATAAGCTGTGTGCCTATTTGTCCACGCTCAGTGGTCAATCATATTTACTTCCACTACCATACATAATGTTTGCACAGAAACTTGGAATCACTGTGTTTAGCTTCAAACGGACAATTTGTTATCCATTGAGCAACTGAATCTACATGGCCACTAACTTTTTCAATAAGTAAAAAGGTATCAATAAGGGCTTGCAACTTCACACTGTTGATATTCAGGACTGTAATTGATTAGTCTCAACTACCATGTATGAATCTTAAACGGACTGCCTTGATACAGCATTATATCACAAGTTCTAGTAAACTTCCAAAATAGAAACTGGCCAATTGCAGTCCCGGATATCAACAACAGTAAATTACAAAACCTTAGTAATAACACTAAACAATTTAAACTGTTCAAATTCACTAAAAAAATGAAAACTAACTATGTATAAAGTGTAGACTGAAAATCAACTAAAACCTTTCTTCAACATTGATTTTTCAATGTTTAAGAAGCCTAATATTGTTTTTAGTAAGAATGATATTGGTTGAGAATGTCTTTCTCTAATACATAATACTCATATCTGAGTCATATTCCCAATGATCTATAAATAGTAACTCAGTAAATTACGATTCTAAAGTCAACAATCAATGAAACGATTATAATTAAGAATTCGTTCATCTCGACAATACACATCAAAGGTGGTTGTAACGCATTAAATATTACACTTTTCTCAACTAATGGTTTTTAAACTTTGTAAACCACCTTATCCCTCGCTTCCCAAACTACACGCTTAACTTGAAATCTATTTACTTAAGGGTTCTATTACGTAATCTATTGTTTAAAGTCGTTTCGAGGTTTTTTGCAACATTGATTTTCTGAAGTTGTCTGACAGATAGTAAGGATTGATAAACAAGATACTTGATTTATTTTAATAACTTTTCAAATAAAGAATAGGTGGCGAATGATCAGTGGGATAATCAAAACTGTTAAATGAGAAGACCAAGTTGCAGCAATCAAAAACCTCCGAATGACGAGTGGATGTTATTGGTCGAAAAATGGTTTTATTTTCCAAGGAGTGAATATATATATATATATATATATATATATATATATATATATATATATATATATATATATATATATATAAACTAGTACTTTTATATCGAGTTCGGTTTAATCCAATAAACTTCCACCTTCACTCTTAGTCTTCTCAATCGGTAGCCGCTTGGGAGCTTGCGTATCATAAGTTTTTGTATCAGTATTAACTTCGGACACTGTTAGTCATAACAGTGAATATCGATGAATCCCAAACTCAAGAGTTGGAGTACATCAAACCATATCGACCACCAGCCCAATGTAACTGATCTATCCTCTCAGGAGGTGAAAATATTCAACACTATTAAACAATTTACTCTAGATGTTATATAAAATACTTTGGGAGTTTATGTGAACAAATTTTAAAACACAAATTTAGCGCCAACATTCAAACACATATTACTGAACAACTTGAAACTTTTAAAAACACGTTTTCAGAAAACTGAATCAAGGTTCAAGTGTTCATTAGACAAAACTATTTCGTCTGTATACAATAAAAACGCAGTACATAAATGTGAAACAATTGATAAACAGGTCAGTCTCCAATAATTTCATGTATCCATAATAAAAATAAATTTAAAAAGTAAGCCTGAATAATTTTAAAGGTCATTAATCATAGTCATTACTACAAACAAAAACACTAAAAATCCATAACTGATTTTGACTAAAGGGGTTAGCGGAATATGGATTGAATTAAAGCACGTTCCGTGCAGTATTATGTTGGAGCACGCTGATTCTCAGCCAGTCAGGTGCAACGTAGGACCAGGCACATATATGCATCGGTCCAAGTTGCCACACCTCATTAGCACAGCAAGATGAACACCGGATTCATAAAAGTAGTTAATTCAGTGGTAGTAATATATAAAAGAAAGATTGCATATAAGGATATAGTACAGGAAGAAAGATATGAAGTGATTTTAATCTCTTAGTTTAAGGGAAGACAGCGAGTGTATACACCGACCTCATTGTGATCTATTCTGAGCCATGTCATCCAGAGTCTCTAATCATTGGTTACGATAGTCACACGGACCCCAACCAAGTAGTCTGGGTATTTCTTATCCAATCAGCGCTAGTGGATACTTGGGGAAGACTCTAGAATCTTCTCGTGCAAAAACTATAAATATACTAACGGTTTTCTTATTTTAACTCTTACTTTCATCTACCTGTTTTATTTGGAATGTAATTCAGTTCCTGTTTAACCATACTCTGATTTGAGGATTTGTCGAGTGAATTTGTGTCCAAGATTACTAAGCAATAGGAATAACTAGGTCATAATAAGAGAAATTATAACAAAAGGTCACGAGGTAGTATGAGGTAACTTTCCAGAATAGAATCCATAAAGAAAATTCTGGAGAAAGATATATCAACTTTTTATTATCCACCTTTTTAATATCCTATCACATTACAGAAGTAGTGAAATCTGCTTCGATATCCTATTTTTTTAAAAAAATAATACAAACTCACAGCAACTGAAACATAAACCAACATGATGGGATCTGTTGCTAAAAATAAATCGAACAGGCGTCTGACATCATCCATATTAGGTAGAACATGAGCAAACCAAGTAATAATCCAAGCAATAGCGAAATCTGGGCCTAACTCAACAGATTCTATACTATTCAGTACAGAAGTTGAAACATGTTCTAACAAGGCGAATATCAATTGCATGTATTCGAGAGTTACATCCATAGATTTCTGCATGAACAAACTATTGAGAATGGGAATTTAAAACAAAAATTAATCAATAGCTATCGTAAAAAAAACTCATAAAACATTTAGACAAATATACATATACATGACATTTAGTTGACTCATAATCCTAGCTAACTATTTAAGGTTATTCTGCAAGTTTATTTTAACAAACGTTACTCATATATTAGAAAAGTTTTTACATGAAACTACAATATATCTGCTTAATTGATCAACATTAAATTAAGCAAATTTAATTTAGTTATGGTTAGCGAGTTACCAGTTATAAGCTTTATACATCTTCAGGTCGTTAGTTATTATTGCTATGTATCATCCCCATGATTTGACCATACTACTTCTAAGCTCTGTAAGCCCATTCAAAAAGTATCAATAGAATTCAAATGAAGTTCTTAATGACTCTAGGCTAATGAACACTTTTTATTCATGGCTAAAACTCAATTATGATTTACATTTCGATCTCAAGTCTTCACAGAGGTGAAGAGATAAATCAATCTGTGTCTACAAAATCTAATGATAAAGCTGACCAACCAGAGGCATTTCAGTTTCACACTAATCTCCTGAATCTGTACATAAAAGTGCTTCAAATTATCTGGGTTCTGAATTCTGAAAGAAATTAAATTATTTTATACCTATAAGATTTCTAACTGATGGACAGCAATGCTTTGCAGACATCATGAACTAGCCCAACACTACTTGAAAAATAAAACAAACGAGTGAATATTTTCATGTGTTCAACAATACAACTGCTTTATTTCCACCTGAATCCTCTAAATGTTTCCAGGCGTTGACGTTTGTTACCACGTGGTCTCCAGTCATTAGGTTAACATATATGTAACCATGATACTTAATCTAAAGGCTAATAACCTTCACGAATTATATTAGCAATTTATTTAAACCTATGTAAATGGTTCCCCACCACTACCACTATCAACCACACCCCTATTTTATTCAGTAAATAATAAATTTCAAGTATCTAAATAGCACAAAAACATTTAGGTTTCCTTAAAACATATATAACATAAGACCTGATAACTACATAAATAGTTATTGATACAGTGTAGTATGGAAATAAAAGGGTGATATAAGCCGTTTAAAAAAGTGATGTAATATCTTTGTGCTTTACACACTTAACGTTATTAAGAAATTACTAATCCACACACATCATAATGTTACAATACTCCAATGTCCAATTCTAAACAACTTTAGTTCACTGTTCAGATTTCTCTCCTAAGTGTTCATATGAAGTATGATAAACCGCTACCTGTTCAGTCAGTCAGTCAGCTACAACGTAGGACCAAGCATATATATGCATCGTTCCAGTTTGCCATACCTTATTAAGACGAGATAAACACGTAATCCATAGTAGTTACTTCAATGAAAGTGATATATAAAAGAAAGATTGTGTATAAGGATATAGTACAGGAAGTAAGAATTAGTTCGTAAGTTCAGTGTTGACGGGAAGACGACATGGAAGGTGGTCACGGAGCGGTTGATCGCGGAGTTCGTCAGCCCAGTGGGCAGGGAAGAAGCACTGAAGAAGTTCCGGTTAGCGAAGCTGTCGATCGATAGTGACTCACTGGTGCTGGCTGCGGAGCTTACCAGGTTGCTGCGCCGCGCGCTGCCGAATCTGGATGAGAAGTCGGAGGCACAGCTGTTGGCGTCGCAGTTTATCGAAAGCGTGACTGTAACCATTTCCCAGCAGCTCAAACTAGTAGACGCCGCACAACCTATGGATGTCAATGAGCTAGTGAAGGTTGCCCGAACAGTAGCTCCGGTTGGGTGCGTAAGTCAGGAGATAAATAGTGTTGAGAAGATTGAGGAGCTGCAGCGTGAGATTGCGGTAATACGAGTGAATCATAAAAGGAATGATAAGTGTTACACTTGTGGAGGGACAGGACATTGGAAGATAAACTGTCCAATAAGACGAAGACGTAGATTTTTAAACGTTATCACGAGTGTTCTTTCTACCCTAGGAATCTGGGGGTTGTTGCACTAGTAGACAGAGGGGTATTCTACACAAGAGTGATCATAAATGAACGAGATTTAGTGTCTGATCGATACAGGGGCAGCAGTATAGTTAATAGGCAAAGAGCAATTCAATAGACTCAAGCCATGTACAGTAGCAGTTCACACCATTCGAGGGCACATGTGAGAGGTGTTGGGTGTGTCTAACAGTATCGTAAAAGTGGGTGATGCTGAGATAAATTTCCCGTTCGTAGTAACCACAAGTTTATCGAGACCGATATTAGGAGCAGCCTACCTGAGAGAAGTAAAAGCAATAGTTGACTTAAGAAGCCGTAAGGTGGTCACAAAGTATGGTTCATTCTCAATACATGAAATTAGCCAAGTGGTTGAGATATGAGTGGCAACGGATGTTTCGGCGAAGAAACCAAACATTAACGAGTTGTGCACAAAGTATACGAAACTGTTTACTGGAGACGGACGGCCGTACGGATTTTTTGACAAATTAAAGCACGAAATCCCGATAAAGAACGATCGAGCAAGCATATTTGCAACACGTCGCGTCTCTTGCATTTAGAGGGTGAGATAAATCGACAGGTCCAGGGGATGTTGAAAGGAGGTATAATTGAGGAAGCGGACAGCTTGTATAGCTCGCCGGTACTCTTGGTAAGGAAATCGAACGGGAAGTACAGATTTTGTGTCGGTTTTCAAGAACTGAATAATATAACAGAACTGGAACCTTGTGCAATGCCAACAGTGGAGGAAACATTAGATCGGCTGCAGAATGCTACGACGTTTACAGTGCTGGATTTGAGGTCAGGTTATTGGCAACTGCCTATAAAAAGGAGCGATCGAAACAAGACAGCATTTACTGGACGTGATAAACAGTATCAATTTAGACGAGTGCCGTTCGAGTTGGTGGGTGTACCATTTAGGTTCAGAAGATCAATGACGCTACTGCTCAAGCATCTAGGTAACGTCGAGGTACATGGCGACGATGTAGTTGTGTACAGCCAGACAGAAACAGATCATGACAAGCATGTGGAAGTGGTCTTAAAGCGAACTGAAGAATTCGGACTTGAAATTGATAAGGACAAGACGCAGATAGCGAAAAGTAGCGTCACGTTGTTAGGGCATAAAGTGGGAAATGGAGAAATAAAACCAGTGCCGGAGAAAATTCTAACCATAAAGAACATTGCAGTGCCTAATTTTAAAAGGAAATTGAAACAGTTCTTAGGAAGGGCGGTATTCTACAGTTGGTTCGTCAAGAACGAAATAGCAACACCCCTATATAGGTTATTGGTGTGGCGCATATATATTTGGTGCCCCCTTGTACCAATATTTGTGTTCAGATAAATAAATAAATAAATAGGTTGTTGAGCAACACTAAGTTTACATGAACTGAGACCGCCCAACAAACGTACAACTGAATCAAAAACATGCTAGACGACCGCAGAATGACACTCAGACTGCCTGAACCCGAGAAACCGTTTACAGTGGCCACAGACGCAATTGATCATGGTATAGGTGCCGTCTTGAGTCAGTCTGATAGAGTAGTGGAATACGTGAGCCGTGTTCTCACACCCGCTGAACAGAAGTGGACGACAACAAGGTTAAGAAAAGAGAGGAGGGTGGCAGTAAGGAACGTGGGAAAGAAACAAATATCAGACACAAAGAAGGCGGAACAACAGAGGTGGACGTGGAAGTCTTTTGCAGTGGTGGACCTGGTAAAGTGTGGAGAACGGAAAAATAACATAGCAGGGGGATCAGGGTCAGGAAATCTGATTTCGAAGTGGCAAGAACAGACCATTGTCATGGAGAGACGTAGCTCGGTTTACACGATCTGGAGAGAAGACAAACGGAAGCGCGTAAATGCCATTCAACTGCAGAAATGGTTTCAAGATTATCAGGAGTGGGAGTCACGAACAGCACCAAACAAGACAGCGGTACGGAGATCGGAAAGACTGCGAGAACAGCATAGTAAAAGGGGGGAAGAGTGTGGAGTGTACTACTTATACTGACATAAGTAGTAAATGACGCGAGCCGAGAATATAATGTCTGACAGCAGAAAATTGAGATCAAAACGGGAAGAACGGGAATAGAAAAGTTGGTATGGAAATGCAGGAACAACGAAGTCTGAGACAATCAATGGACATTTTTCAAATTAAGTATTGTAGTATGGTTTTTTTTTATTTTACTAAATAACTCGGTAATCTTGTATTAAATATAATTCGGTTGTCCTCACCTGTTTTTCGCTTCACTACACAGTTGTCGACGCAGGCCAGTCCTGAAGCAACAATTTGCATTTAGATGGGGAGCAACGCATCTCAAAAATTCTGGCATTGTTGCTCAGTGCTACCAAAAGACTCTGCGTTTTATCAGCGTCTCCACCAAACAGGACTATGTCATATGCGTATTATAAGTCGATAAGCAGACCTCCTGGTAGGAGATCAGTTCCCAAAAATTCAGACAACGAGAATGTAATATCAGAAGTAGGACTATGGTGAAATTGAACAAAAATGGAGATAGTGGACAGCCTTGACGGACACCACTCAAGGTTGCAAAAACAGATGACAGTTCACCATAAGCTCACCACTGACCCGGCGTCCAATGGTGCTAATGTCTAACTTCAACCAATCCACGAAGTTGCGCCACCGTATACCATTGTCTTAAATGAGCTGATATCTCACAACAGACCTGGTTGAACTCCACTAGTAACGGCTTCTCACTAGAACTCCAGAAGTATCTCTTGAAGTTACAATCGATGAGAGCGTTATTTCCATCAGTAGGTCTATGATGAAGTTAAATAAAAATGGAGATAGTGGACAGCCTTGACGGACACCACTCAAGGTTGCAAAAACAGATGACAGTTCACCATAAGCTCTCACTCGACTAGTAGTGCGGGTAAAGAGCCTGCACAAGGTTTATATACTTCTGAGGTACACCTTTCAATGACAGACACTGCCACAGAACCTCTCGGTCTACAGAGTCAAATGCTGTTTTCAAGTCAAGAAAGGCCACCATTGTCGGACACCGACAAGCATGTCTGTGTTCTAAAATCTGACGAATGGTGAATATGTGGTCAATACAGCCACGACCACGTCTCAAGCAAGTCTGACTTTCTCGTGTTTCCAGTTCACGAGTCTTTATTAGGCGTCCGATAATTATTGACGCTAGTATTTTAGATGCTATATTAGTCAAACTAATCCCTCTATGGTTATCACAGGATGATTTTGACCCATTCTTATATATTGGGACAATCAGTGATTGAGATCAGTCAGATTAGATCACGTCCAATCCCCAGGTTTTAGATAAAATATTAATCAACCTGATCGCTAAAACTGGACCACTATACTTAGAGACATATGGAGTCAATCCATCTGCACCTGCTGCTCTTCCTCGTTTCAGATTAACTATAGCCTTGTGAACTTCAGATAGAGTAGGGGGACATACTTCAATGTTCCATTCAAGCTATCTGGGAATAGTCGGTAGTTGGAGAGTAGCTGAAGACCAGTTGTACTGCTCCTTAAAGTGTTCCGTCCATCGTTCTAAACGTCTGGGCTGAGAGCAGATTATAGTATCGTCTTTTCCCGAGATAGTTCCACTTACGTTTGACTTCTTAATTCGTTTCTTTTATTTCTCTGTAGAGCTGTCTGGTGTTACCTACAGCCACTGCCTTTTCCATCTCTTTTGCTTTCGTTGCCCACCACTGTTCACGATCGCTACCTGTTACGTATTTATTCATGATATCAAACCTGAAACACCGTCATCCTGTATCAAAACTTATCTAAACGTAGCAACAATACAAAACATCTAATTATTAAGGAACAATGAAAAATATTTGCAATAATTCTCGGTATGAATATTTACCTGAAATGAGTTGGGATCAATTTATTCAGCAATATTCGAGATTCTCTTTCACCCAAAACGGAAAAGAATACATAACAAATATCATGGAAACCCTTAAAAATAAAGATGAGAATCAAAAATGAAAAATGAATAAATGAATAAATTCTATTACAGCAGTAAAACTGAATAGTCAAAAAAGCGTTCAAATATAATCAAAGTTAAAAATATGTTGAACGAGAAATATTTGATCTAAATTTGTCAACACCAATTATAATAAAAATCATGAAGTAATATCATACATAGACAGTTTTATGAGAGTTATAAATCATTTCCTGAACTTACAACATACTTTGCAAATAATCTGTTACATTCAACGATTATCTTTATTGTGGTTCTATTTTGTTACTGGTAAAACATTTAGTATGGTTAGCAATTTATAGTTGCAACTGAATTATAACATATGCCTTCTCCGTGTATTTCTATTTATCGTAAAATAATATCTTGAAAGAATTAACTTCACTGATTCAATACTAGTATGCTAATGGTAATAATAAACTTCGTATTATTAATAGGAACAGTATGAACTTCCACTAATCGCTGTCTAAAATACAAGTTTGGAAATCTCACCGAAGGCTGTAAAACTCTCTACTCTAAAACTGTGTGTTATCTTTCAATTTTTGGTCAGTTGAGTTGATTATACAGTTGTTTCTAAGCTTTCATTATCATGAAACCATTTTCATGACTAAATTTCTAGACCGAAAGGACTTGCTATCACTATCAAATCACTTCTAATAAATAAATTTAATAATCTTATTGTAATCACCATTACTATTCTGACAGTTATACAGCTATATTTTATTGTACTTCTAACTGTATGGTCCAGAACAGACCAACTGCTATGGATCAAAGAGTCAGATAGTTCAGAAGAAGTGAAATCAATCCTTTGCTACCATTACTTGCATGTTCCAAAAAATCCCAAGTACCACGTTCAACAAAGAAAATAGCCACAAATTGCTGAAATACGACATCAAGTTAGATTTTAAGTTAAGGATTTGAAATACATATGATGAGATGCTGATGAAAACCTCACTTATTTTTATTGAAAAAAAATTAGGAAATGTAGTGCATATTGACGGTATAGAGCTCTACTTGATGTAGTTAGAAAGTAATAAGTAAAATACACGTAATTAATTTAATGGTCAATAACATTTTTGGATTGTAACTAGATAGGAAAGTAAATAAGAAAACCATTTAATGGGTCGTGTGTTAATAACAAATTGTGATATATTAATTACTTCATACTGCCAACTACAGTTAAAGGAACATATATTCTTAAAGATGCTATTTAATGAAATAATTAGTGTAAAAACTGGTAACCAATTAGATGACTGAAAATCTTATATAAATATAAGCCACCTTAAATTTAAGCAGCGAAGACCAATATGCATAGGTATATTTACACGTACCTGATAATAATGTAAAGAAGGGTTATCCACTAATACAGAAATCACTAGACGAGTAACAATTTGTTGCATACTTTCAATTTCTTCGGGATTTGAGTTCTTAGGCATTAAACTTGTCATACGACATGTGTCCAATTTAACTTGATGATAGCTTGGATGGTGCTTTACCATTTCAGGGTCTAACTTTGGAAATTAAAAAAAGATGGAACGAAAGTCATACATATGAACCTGTTTTACATATAAGATGTATTTACTTAAACTAAATGATGCTGAAAAGTATGATAAAGTGGATTATTATGATGCTACAGTTGATATATTGGAAGAAACTTGCAAATCTTTCTCAGCATCATAAGCATATATGGACATATTAATTTCTACCATTCAAAAAATCATAAAAAAGTAAGTTGACAGTAAACAACCAAGAACCATAGGCAGTAAATAAGGAACCTGAGTATTTACTTTGTCAATCAAGTATAAATTAATTTGCTGGTTTCAAACTACAAATACTACCAAACTAACCAATTTAGGAACATGGAAATAAAGCAGTCTATCGACTTTTAACTAATTAGTGTAAGGACTTTAAATTCATCAAATAGATATATCAATAGTGCTTTCTTAAGTTTAAGAAATATTCACTTAGAAAAACCAAAAATATATAAAGGGATTTTACTGATTAAGTTTCATAAAAAGTTGTAGCTGCAACTTATCGGTTTAGGTTTTTGAGATTTAACCAGTAGCTGACTGATTCGGGTTCTATTATCTTACTGAGGAATGAAGGCATAAAAGTAGTATAAAAAGATAAACTGACAAGTAACTACCCAAATATACTTCTCAAGTTCATAAACGAAACCAGTGTGTAAAAACTGTAGAGCACAAAAGATAAAAGAATTTCATCTAATGACTCAAGTTTCGCTTGTTGTGATGATGTATATCATAACAATGGAAACGACACTTTGGTCCTTCAACTAACTAGATCTTTATTCAATGAAATAATGTCACACTGGTTTTGAATGAAGCGACTTTCGTAAATATTTTCAAAACACATGGTGTATTCCGCCTGAAACTTACCTATGAGCACGTTTGATATCGCTACACCCCACTATTTCTAAAGAGCAAGGAATTTTGACCTATAAAGAGTGAAGTTTTGTTTATATATTAAGGATGTATTGATCGTTTTTCCAGCGCTAATTGGGCGCCCAAACATAATCACATACATTGGAGGTCAATAATTGTGTTTCATGACACAACGGATAACTTCAAATAACAGTGCATGGTTGTGTACCTGGATTGTCAACTAAAGGTTGCAAACGAACATTGTGAAGTAGCCTGAAGATATTTCAAATCATTGAATATTAAAGTACAATTATAAAGCCTGGTGTGTAGCGATGAATAAATCCCCAAAATAAATAGTCCTACAAGTCTTTGACATTTATACTGACCACATTGGTTTTACTGGACGTACCCTAGCTGAAGGTGCTCGGTCACGCATACGCACCAGATCACGAATGGGTACACCGTGCTTCGCATCCTTTGCAACTACTAACTAGCTGAGACCAAACGCTTTTGACCGGGTTGCATAATTCGATTATAAAGGTATTACATGTAAAGGCGCTGTCAAACTCCGAATACCTGTGGCATCTTTAGGTGCATGCACAACCACTTAGCCTTGGACGCAAGTAGTCAAGAAGTTCCTGATTTTGTGTAGTTATAAATGCTCATGTGACAAACTAATAATCGCCATGTATCGGGACAGAAAGGTTAACGTCATTATTCCCCATCATTTGTTCCGGTTTCTTCAAATATTGTCATGTCGCTTCTTACGTGAGATATGCTGATCTGTTGTTCTAGCAAGTATCTCTTAGGTCATAAACCGGCATGGAAAATAAGTTTCAAATTTTGAAATGGACAAATAATCCCAATAAATCATTCAAACTGATTTATTATTCCTTAATAATAGCTAAGTACAAGGGATTTTCAGAACAAGTACGATTTACTGTCTGGTAAATATCAACGACCCAGAATATGAGTGACAATCTGATACGATGCCCGGACATTGAAGATAACAGACTAGTCTCAATTGAATGGTGAATGAATGACTTACAATCTAATTTCGTCTAACGTCTTACAATATTCTTTTACGTTTATTTTTCGTTCATATTCTGCATATGAGAATGTCATTTTACTACATGAAAAAACATTCACCTAACTAGAGGTATTGTCTTTAATTTCTAATCACTCAAGTGGCCTAAGTGAATAATATGGTCTCGTGAGCAAACATCACTCGATTACATTATATCATTGCATTTACCTACCGGTTAGCATTCTGTCCACTGACTTGAACAATCAAAGTTTTCGTCTGGTCATAAAATTTTCCTCCATAACATATTTACGAGTCACAGTAAAGGTAGTGGTGGAGTAGAAAAATATATATAAATGGTGCTAAAAAAAATCTAAATATGTTCACGTGTTGTTCGTCCGAAATTAAAAAATTTCAGAACAACTGTCCTAAGTTCCTCTATATCCTTAAAAGCTACACTTCTATATGAGGAGAAATTAGGGCCAACACATAAGGTTTCCGTAGCTACAGGAAGCTAAAGGAAATTGCGGTTATTACAAGAATGATCCTTGTCTCTGAACGCGGAAAGATAATCATAGATATCAGTCTTCAGTAATAAGGATATTAGGTTGGTGAACCTGTGTTAATCCTGACAGATTGCCTTCCAATAAAGGTCCAGCTTTACTTTGAGAATATTCACTGATGGGACTAATACCACTCGTTTGGGTAAGGTTTCCCAGTCATTGACTACTCGATGAGGAAACGGGACCCCGCTCTAAGTTTCTTAGATCGCGGCTTGTGAGCCTTCTTGCTTTGACCTCGGAGATTATTAGTGCTGCAGGGAGCAATAATATAAGACATTAACACCCAAATCACAATTAAAGATACGAAATGCCAGTATAAGGTCACCTCACGTCCTACGATACGACAAGTGGAGAAGGTTTAGGCGTTTTAAACGCTCTTCGTAAGGGCGTTTAGAAAGACCCTTCACTAATTTTGTTCCCACACGCTGGACACGTTCAAGTGAGTTGGTATGCTTTACCAGACATGAGCTAGCTGCTTGGATATAGTGCTCTAAATGTGGTCTCACATAGGCGGGATATAAAATTCGAAACATTTCCTCGTCAAAGCATTTGAATGCTCGGCGAAGTGACCATAACGCACGAGAACCTTTGACAGAAGCTGCGTTGCAATGCGTAGTTGTTTTCAATTTATCACTTATTATTACTCCTAAGTCTTTATGTTCTTGAACGCGTGGAAGAGGTTTACCATCAATAGTATAATGGTAACTATTACCGTGACCAATGTGCATTAGGACACTCTTCCTAGAATTGATTTCTAAGCCTCAAACTCGAGTCCATCTAACTAATTCGTCTAAGTGCGCTTGGAGATCAAAATGATCAGCCTCACTTTTCATTGCTCTCCAGATTTTTACGTCATCCGCAAACAGTAATGTCGACGACCTAAGCGACAGCCTTAACTCGTTAACGTAGAAAAGGAAAAGCAGAAAGCTTAAGATAGTGCATTGGGGTACACCACTTTTGACCGGCTTCCAATCGGATGGCGTTTAATTGACCCTCACTCTCTGTCTGCGGTCACATAAGAAGTTTCCTATCCACTCCTGTACAGAACCTATTATTCCGAAGCCCGAGAGCTTCTGCATAAGACCTAAGTGTGAAACATTGTCAAATGCTTTGCTTTGGCTTCCAAGATCTGACTACCCGAAAACCCTTAATCGTAAGGTTAGTTTCACCACTTAACTTTCGAGTTCTTAACTCCTTAAGCGCACTCTTCCACTTGATTCGATCCTCAAGCGGCCAATCTGGTCGGATATGAATATTTGAATCACGAGTTTTTTGTGCGTTATTTAATACTATATCTCTTTCTTCGAAATTCCCGAGAACCAACTTCAACATCCTTCTTGGTTGGGTCTCGCCTCCAACCCATTTACCAAGTCGTATTACTTTCGTGATATGTACCCCTGGAACCTCTTCAGGTAGTACGTTTCTTACCACAGATTCCATCAACTGCAGATCATGTGCATGTCTCTTAGCAGGGTCGTTGTCTTTCGACTCCTCTACATTCCAAATAATTAAACTAGGAAGGGATTTAACTTCTTTTGAAATCGTGTTCACGGCTTTCGATCGTGATGTTAGATCCTGCATATTAACTACTGACATCTTACAATTAGTTTTCATTGTAACAGAGTCATGGAAGTCGAGCGAATGACTCACAACAATGTTTGACGAGGCTTTACTTTGGGACTTTGGCGGAGTAGTCTGTGAGTCCACCAAGGACTTATCAAGTAAACGGGCATTAGTTTTGACTATCTTTCCTACTCTTCTGCGTTTCCGCGTCACCCACTTCCCACCGGTCGTAGCATCTACATTAGAACTACTTGAGCAGCAACACATACAAAACCAATGAGAGTTGGGCTTTGAACGCGTTTAGGTCACTTAGGTCGTCGACATTACTGTTTGCGGATGACGTAAAAATCTGGAGAGCAATGAAAAGTGAGGCTGATCATTTTGATCTCCAAGCGCACTTAGACGAATTAGTTAGATGGACTCGAGTTTGAGGCTTAGAAATCAATTCTAGGAAGAGTGTCCTAATGCACATTGGTCACGGTAATAGTTACCATTATACTATTGATGGTAAACCTCTTCCACGCGTTCAAGAACATAAAGACTTAGGAGTAATAATAAGTGATAAATTGAAAACAACTACGCATTGCAACGCAGCTTCTGTCAAAGGTTCTCGTGCGTTATGGTCACTTCGCCGAGCATTCAAATGCTTTGACGAGGAAATGTTTCGAATTTTATATCCCGCCTATGTGAGACCACATTTAGAGCACTATATCCAAGCAGCTAGCTCATGTCTGGTAAAGCATACCAACTCACTTGAACGTGTCCAGCGTGTGGGAACAAAATTAGTGAAGGGTCTTTCTAAACGCCCTTACGAAGAGCGTTTAAAACGCCTAAACCTTCTCCACTTGTCGTATCGTAGGACGTGAGGTGACCTTATACTGGCATTTCGTATCTTTAATTGTGATTTAGGTGTTAATGTCTTATATTATTGCTCCCTGCAGCACTAATAATCTCCGAGGTCAAAGCAAGAAGGCTCACAAGCCGCGATCTAAGAAACTTAGAGCGGGGTCCCGTTTCCTCATCGAGTAGTCAATGACTGGGAAACCTTACCCAAACGAGTGGTATTAGCCCCATCAGTGAATATTCTCAAAGTAAAGCTGGACCTTTATTGGAAGGCAATCTGTCAGGATTAACACAGGTTCACCAACCTAATATCTTAATTACTGTAGATTGGAGACTAAATGATCATCGACGAACTCCCATAAATTTTGGTGACGGAACCTTCAAATGTTAAATGTTACGGAACTCGGTAAAATTCTAATCTAATGAACGCTAAGTGGTATGAAGACTATGACGTATTACAAAATGTTAGACTAGATGCTAACTACAATTTCAAATGTACTTTACATTTGATTAAAATATGGAGTAATAGGAAGTCACCTACGATTCGAGGTAAAAACCAAACAGGCATTGAAGTGCACAGAACAAACTCCGAACAGAAACTATTCATATTTCAAAATATACATGACATGAGATGGTTTACACACTGAGTATTGACTTTACCTATATCTGGTAGTTCGCAATTTCCCCTCATTAAAATTGGCCATACAACTTTTCTAACATCGTTATCCACTAACCCATATCGACTGATTGAGAAGTGTCGCAGTTTTTTGTCATCTGCCTTTCTATTTACACATTCAAGAATGTCCTCCTTTTTGCAGAGTGCTTCGGAGCGCATACTACAATAACGGCGCCTAACGCTTTTAACCACTAGTTCCAATCATCAGACTTCCCATATTTTATGCTTTTGTAGTTGCTGATTGTTTTGTGTCAGCTTAATTATTGAACGGATGGGCTCCCCTTGTACTTATTGAGCCTTTATATTGCTTATCGTTTGTTCGTTTCCAGATTCGCTCAACCATGAACACAATGTACCTTCTGACTAAGCTCGAATCTATGGGCCGTATCTTCAGTTAGAAGAATTACAGATCGATTAACTTGGGATAAATTTTGAAGTTAGCCAAATTATAAATTCATTGTAAAGATGCCACATGTATTCGGAGTCTGACGACACCTTAAACAGTACCAAATTCTATGATCGAAACTTACCAACCCAGTGAGATCAGAAGTCAGAAGAGAAGAGGCTCGAAGATTTATTTGATAGAATACCGACATATTGAGAAGTGACTAATCTAGAATGGCTAGCAGCTATAGGATACTGTCATCGCGCGCTTTTCGAACGGGACGTTTAGTCCTATTCGGTTTTTTTCAGTTTTTCACGTAAAGGCTAGATTCAGTTTATCGCAAAACGTTTCTACTCATTTTTGCCCATTTTAAGTGTACTATTTTTTACGGTCTTAGGCTTTTGCTAGCATCTATAAAACGTTTTACGTCAATATAGTCACGAAAAATTCATGCAGACGACCTGGATGTCGTTTTGCTGTTACATCTTGCATGCAGTGCGACAACTACAAAGGTTGGTTCAATGAGGCGTTCACAGACCTCACAGCAACTGCTTAAAACAGACTCATTAACTCGAATCATAGGTGGGTATGTGTCATATGCAACACGGATGCTGAAGTTTTGCTGGGTAACGTCATTGTCCTATTGACAGGTCTGTTGAATAAGTTGTCAGCAAACTCGAAGAAAGACAGTCACAAAACAGGAAGACAAATAAGGACGCGCAATGAAAACAAGACGAGGGATCTCGACATCGCCACTATCGATGGAGCATGTAATAACACTGGTGATGACATGATGAAACTCAGCATCATCATAACGTCGACAGTAAAAGACTCCCAGCAGACTTGGGTCTCCCAGCACAGGGTCCCTAAATGCAACAGTGGTTCCTCAAAACTCTGTGGGTGATTGGACCCCTGTTACCGAAGTCGAAAAGGGCCAGGCGTCTAAGAAGCTGAACGTTCTAAGAGCTTTAGGAAAATCATCTGACAATTTAACCGCCCAGTCAACCCCAAAGAATGTCCGTCCGGTCATCAAAGAGCAAAGGTATCGTAAACATCCTTCGAACTCCAAACAACATGGTCCCTAACCTGGAAAGACAATATAGGCTCATGACGATTCTCTCATAATCATGAACCTTAAAGACAGTCCTGACCTTCCCCTTAGCCTACAGGGCAAAAGTAACAGGATGCCCTGGAAAGAGTTAAGCAATAAGTTCGAACTTCCCGAAATAGAACCCTTCACGGTCACACCACTCACTCGGGGAAAAGAATCTAAGCATCAAAATCACCCAAGGCTACTTCGTGTAACACTCACTAATCCCACCGACGTAGAGGATATCCTACTAGTTAGTCACTTACTGAAATCATATGGGAACGTAAGAATACTGTCTGACATACCATATTCTGAGCGCAATCTCATAAGGAACATCCCTAAGGAATCTCGTGAGAAGCTTTTCCGTTGATGAAATATCATTGTGCAAGGTGTACGTGAAAACACGTACCGTGACCACACAAACTCATATTCGGGAATGGAAATTCATCAACCAGTCCTTTGGGCTCAAAAACATATTGACTCAACAAACAGTGAGACTGGCCAAGAAAGACGGAGATTCTAGACCCCCGCTAATGAAGATAACCTTTTAATTCTCACATATGGCGGCTGCAACTCCGGAAGCATTTCGTGTCAACAGACGTCGGTTGCCAACTGGAATCCATATGCACCCAGATAGGCCACATGACGCCAGGATCAAGCATAAAAGCAAGTTGAAGCTGACTGTTCCACTTGTGGACTGTCTAGATCACAAGAAAACTTAAACTGTAGTGGTTATCAACTCGGAAAACCCTGTGTAGGTGGGTTACCTGTCCATCCATACAAGGCTCATACAGATGAACAGGAAAAGGAAGCTCACGCGTTTCAAATTGAAAACATAAACTTCTTATATATGAACGCCGCGAGTTTACTGAATGGAATAAATGAGCTGCGTGAACTCAGTAATGCTAATAATACTCATCTGGTGGGAATATCAGAAACATGTATATCTTCTCAGTTTACGGACCAGGAGCTAGTAACATCCGGGATGTCTTTGTTTCGCAATGACAGAAAAACAGGAATGACTGATAGAGTAGCCTTATACTTGCGATTTTTCCTGGAGACACATCAAGTGCACAACCAAGAGTTTATCAATCTTGGTGTATTCGTATGGTGCTCAATAAGATTTTCTACCACCTCGAGGCGTCTAGTTGGGGTCATCTACACGAAGCCCACTACTGACATCGTGTGACAATTGCATTCTGGAAGGATTCTTAGGCTCTACGCGTCTCGGATTCACTCACATCCTGATTCTAGGGAACTTCAATCTTCCCAAAGTCAATTTCGCGGAACATACGTTTATTGGAATTAAAAACTTAACTGAAGCTCGGTTCTTCAACCTCACTGAGGATCTGGGATTATTCGAAAATGTGAAGTCGGAAACTCGGTGGAGAAACAGACAGACACCGTCACGCTTAGACTGGATATTTATCAGCGAAACTGGACTAAGACATCCCAACGACAACATGCGTTGGAATTTCAAACGGTTGAATCTGTCAGCTTCACAGGACTATCTACAGCTGGTGGATTGGGGTGTTTACCCTCAACTTCATGTGTAAGCTCTTTGGGATTTCTTACTGCACACGCTTTTATGTGCTACAAAGAAATCCGTTCCTTAAATGATCCCCAAAATCTACAAGCAACCTACAGTCATCAAGAACCGCACTCTTCGTTTGCTAAGCCGCAAAAGGCACTGTTGGGCAGAATACAAACGAACTGGTAACAACGGGGCATACAGGTAATACGAACATATAAGGAACAAATGAACAAAGGCAATAAAAGAAAATAGGCTTCAGTACCAGATAAAGCTTATCAATAAACATGTCTCCAATCCGAAAAGCGTATTCCGTTATGCAGCCTCTCTTCGACAAGCCAAAACTGGAGTTTCTCAACTGCTAGGTTCTAATCGCCCGACCAAATACGACGGTGACGCCGCTGACCTTTTGGCTGAACAATACTCTCGGACATTGCAACCGACCCACATTAATTATATTGATGAGAGCTTCATCTGCAATTGCACAGGACTTCCGAAGTGAAAGTGAGCGCTGAAGTGGTGTACTAGAAACTGCACACCTTAGAAAAAACACTTCTCATGGCCCGGATATGGTTCATTCTGCTATACTGAGGGAAGCAGCTTGAATCCTGGCAACACCGCTTGGTGTGATGTCCTCACACTCGCTAAGCCGAGGCAAACTACTGAAAATTTGGAAGCTGGATCATATCGTACCAATTTCCAAAGGAGTTCGACTCAGCGAACCTTCAATCTACCGACCGGTGGCCGTTCTGTCTATACTGTAGCGGTAAATAAATCCCCAAAATCAATAGATCTGTAAGTCTTCGATATTGGATGCTGACCACATTAGTCCTAGTGGACTCACCTAGCTGAAAGCGCTCGGTCATGCATCCGCACCATATCACGAGTGGGAACACCGTGCTCAACATCCCTTGCAATCGCTAGCAAGGTTAGATCACTCGATCCTCGATATATTGATAGCTTATTAAACATACCTTCGAACCTCCTTGCTTCTATCTTTTGATTTCACTTGGTGGGTACGACTCATAATAGAAAATGTTACTGGTTAAAGCGTTGTCAAACTCCAAACACCTGTGGCATCTTTATTGTTGAACCTAGCGTGATCTGGTACACCAAATCGCAAATTGTGAGTGTGTTTCCACCTTCGTTCCAACTAATTCCTTTCTGGCCAGACAACATCGAAGCTTGGTTCTGTTATGCAGAGGCTAACTTCCACGAGCGCGACGTGATCGACACACGTGCACAACTCCTCGCAGTAGTCAAAGCACTACCGCGCGAATTCAACAGGTACGTAACACCTAGCATGTTCACTAGTGATGTTTCTCAACCCTACGAAAAATTTAAACGATCTATCCTTAAAGGCGGAGATCTAACCGATCGCCGAAGGTTAGACCAACTCCCTAATAATATAGACCTGAAACACGATTCCGCGACAGACATGTTGCTGAGAATGAGAATGGTTATCTGCCAAAGAATCTTCATTGATGGCTTATTCAGACAACTTTCCTTATCTAAGCTTCCTCAGCAGGTGCAAGCTGTGCTGGTCTCGTTTCAAAACAACGCCGTAGACTAGCTGGCCGCATCTGCCGCCCACTTCTTAGAAATTACGAAATCTTCTAATCCCGAGGTTTTTTCAGTCAAAGAAAAACCTCGAACGACCAAGAATGACATTACGGAATTATGTTATACACTTAAACTTTATCTTAGATTTGGTAATAACCGTAAATGGTCACACACTCCGCGAACAGGCACTTCACGTAAGCGAATTGCCTCTAGACCATGAGAGACGGATAACTCCGACTGGTGCCGGTATCATAACCAGTAAGGAAAGTCTTCCAGAAAGTGCGGAAAACCCTGCGATTTTCTCAACTCAAAATCAACTGACACGCAAAACAACTCGGGAAACTTCCAAGCCGGCACGCGTTAACGGCAACCGTAGCCGGAAAGCATAGCCCTCTATAATACGTCATAGGTGTGATAACGAAAGTTCGCTACCTCGTCGATACTGTCGCAGAAGTTAGCGTTCTTCGAGCAAATTCTAACGACCGGCTTCACGAATCGGTTTTTAACCTGCAGGCGGCAAACGGAAAGCCTATTGTCACATATGGTAAAAGGTACGTTTACCTTAAAGTGGGTTTACGCAAACCCATTCACTGGATCTTTGTTGT